TCCTGCTATGTGTCACTGTACTGAAGAGTCTGTACACTTTTACCTCCTTTGGCTCCTCCCAGCAGTTCTGCAGGATGCAGGTGTTGTTAGCTCCATTTTATGTATCAGAAAATGAGGCCTACGGAGGTTAGATTAGGTAAGTTGTTTAAGGCTAAAAAGCCAGTGAGTGGCAAAGGCAGGATGCATGCTCTGGACTAACGGCCAGGTGCACGTTTTTCCATCACATCACACCCAGGGAATTCAGAAGCTGTGTTCAGCGTTTTCATTGAAAAGGGGAGAAATCTGGAGTTAGATGCAGTTTGTCAGAGGCTCCTCATCTGCTGAATGGCAGAGCTCTTGCTGAAACTCAGAACTCCTTCCTTAGTTCTGCTTTGTTTTGATTCCTCAAAAGAGCAGAGGAAATACGGAGAGTAGAGGAGCTGTAGGTGCTGGCACAAGTCGCTGCACTCTTGGTTTGTTTGTGTTCTCCACCTGGTCTAAGGCTGAATCTTCAGCCCAGGCAATGCAAACATAACACCAACAACTGACGCTGCTAATTGGCTGGTGTCTCTGTATTTGTACAGGGTGCGTTCAGCAGCAATCATTTGGGGGAAGCAACAGATCAGTGTTATCTAGAGTGTCTGGGCCTCAAGTTCATTGGTAATTGCTTCCCTTCACTCTGCAGATCTGGTTTCAGAGGGGACTTTAAAACCCATTAAAGGCACTTTGGTATAGGTTTTCCTCAAAGACAGACCCTCTCCCAAATGCTACATCTTCACATAATTGAGACAGTTGGGCTAGGTCTCGGGGGCTGGGATGTCTGTCTTGTTCCATAACTCTTAAGTAGTGAAAAGGGAGAAATGGTAAAGTGTAGATGAATGTGGCTTTAAGCAAGGCAGATAGGCCTCAGGGTAGCAGAGGAGGAGGGATGGGCAAGGATATTAGCAAGAGATGGTTCTCTTTACAATAAGCTACTTATTGGGAGTGGAAGTGGAAGGAGGGAGTAGACATGGCACTTTTATAATGATCATTTCTTTAAAAATTAACCATATTACTTCTGAATCTAGACTATATTTTTCCCGAAACTGCTAATTATCATTAAGGTTAATGGAGTTTTCCCTTAAAATTAACATAGGATCTGGCACATAGTAGGTTTTCAACATTGAATGAATAAGTATAATGGAGGACAAATTATATAATGATAAAAACTTTGATTTTTTTCTCTAATTGAAGGTCATTTAAGGGGACTTGAAAGTTATAATATTTACCGAGACGAGAGAGCAAAATCGTTTAATTAAGCAAGAAAGCTTGATTTCATTGCACTTTGACATCTATATTTTTATGATGTGAACATTTATTCATTAATCCCACTATTCAATCTATTAAAGTGTTATCAAGAATTCCTTCTTATTTAAAAAATACTGTTTTTTATGTTAGTGTCTGGTTATTATTTAAATTTGATTAGTCTATACTGAAATTTGATTAATTTCCCTGACCTTTCAATTGACAGTAATATTTGAACATATGTCATTAAGAATTAGGTCTAAAAAATACAAAATGAGAAGACAGTCCATAGAAAGTATAATTTATCTGAAGTATTTTAAAAAGAAACCAGAAATAGAACACAGAGGGGAAAGTAGTCTAGAGAAAAAATGACTCAAAAACATTTATTTTTCCAGTTATAACACAGTGTACATATTTATTGAAAATTTAGAGAATAGAAAACAAAGGAGAAAGTTAACACCACTTGTTTTCTGACCACGCTCAGATGCTACAGTTAGCAGCTGGGTGTGCTTCATTTCAGACTTTTTTTTTGCATATATTCAATCTTAACAAAGTTATAATCATAGTTTGGTAGTATATCATGATTCTCACTAAACTTTAAAGTGTTTCCCCATATTACTTGATAATTTGAAAGCATTTTTGGCCTTGGCCAGATAGCTCATTTGGTTAGAGCAGTGGTTGGCAAACCGCGGCTCGCGAGCCACATGCGGCTCTTTGGCCCCTTGAATGCGGCTCTTCCACAAAATACCACGTGCGGGTGCGCACATACAGTAGTGCGACTGAAACTTCATGGCCCATGCATAGAAGTTGGTTTTCGGAAAGGAGATAGATGAAACAAGTATACAAGACGAGTGTGGATGGGAGAGTTGGAAGGGGTCGACCTCAGCGAATGTACCTCAATCAGATTGAGGATGTTTTTAGCAAAGGTCCTAGCTAAAAAGGTAGCTTAGGAGTACCCTAATTAAGTTAATAACAATGTACCTACCTATATAGTTTAAGTTTAAAAAATTTGGCTCTCAAAAGAAATTTCAATCGTTGTACTGTTGATATTTGGCTCTGTTGACTAATGAGTTTGCCGACCACTGGGTTAGAGCATCGTCCTCATTTGCCAAAGGTTGTGGATCTCCAGTCAGAGCACATACAAGAATCAACCAATGAATGCATAAATAAGTAGAACAACAAATCGATTCTCTCTCTCTTTCACCCTCTCCCTTTTTCTCTCTAATATCTCTCTAATACCTGAATAGATAGATAGATATAGATATAGGTAGATAAAGCATTTTTAATGGCTGACTATTTTTCCTTCAGAGGCTACATCATATATTAAAATTTTCTTTGTTAAATATTTCCCCCTCCTCCAGTAGTCTGCACTGTATGTAAACTAGTAGAGTAGCTCATGGAGTATTTGTTGATTCTTGACGTTCTCTCTCTACCCATGAATTTGTCCTCCTGGGAGTTGGCCAGGGTCAAGCTGGTGCTGGCCAGTCCATCTCTTCAGAGTGTACCTTTAAATGTCTTTCAGATCTCATAGGATGGTTGGACTATACAGAAGGCCGCTGTGAAGACCAGGCCTCAGAGGCAGTTTGCTGTTTCCCCTCCACATCACAATTTAATCCCCTTGGTGTCATTGCAGATGTGAATCCCAAGTACCAGTGTGATCTGGTGTCTAAAAACGGGAATGACGTCTATCGCTATCCCAGCCCACTTCATGCTGTGGCCGTGCAGAGCCCAATGTTCCTCCTCTGCCTGACAGGCAGCCCGCTGAGGGAAGAGGAGAGGCTGGGCAACCCCACCAATGACATTTGTGTCGGATCTGAGCTGGACGCCGTCAAGACGGAGGCGTCCTTACCGTCTCCAAGCAGGGTGTGGCCTGCTCCCCACCCCGCATCCAGCAAGAAAATGGACGGCTACATTCTGAGCTTGGTCCAGAAAAAAACACACCCTGTAAGGACCAACAAGCCAAGAACCAGTGTGAACGCGGACCCCACGAAGGGGCTTCTGAGGAATGGGAGCGTTTGTGTCCGAGTGACTGGGGGCGTCTCCCAGGGCAATCCTGGGAACCTTAAGAATTCCAAACAGGCGCCTCTGCCCACCAGCGGAGTCCCCTCTTTGGACCCTGGGACATTCTCCCCACCGAAGCAGTGGTCAAAAGAATCGAAGGCAGAGCAACTGGAAAGCAAGAGGGTGCCCTTGCCAGAGGGCTGCTCGCCCGGTGCCGCCCCTGAACTTCAAAGCAAGCATCCCCCCAAAAATGCCAAGCTAGCCTCCCAGAGCACACCCCGGGGCCCCGCCACTGTGACTGGGGAGGCCCCCAAAGAAAGCAGCCACATCCCAGCGGCC